AAGGATTAATTACCTTTCAACTCCTTAAGAAAATTTAAGACAAAAGTAGCATGCATCAAACTGAAGAAAATTACCAACTTCAAATGCCCGTGTATATGAACCTTGCATGTATATCATAGTATAGTCGTTTCAATTTAAAAGAAAAAGCTGCCAAAAAGCATGCAAATGGAAACCAAGCTTAGACCCCTCTCTCCCCCCTTCCCTTTTTCTCGTGTTGTCGCAATCTCTCCTTTCTCTTTTTCTTATTCTATAATGATTCTCAAACATGTTTCTAAATTTTAAAAAATTCATAATAAATACTTTTTAAAATTAAAAATATTTTAATTTTAGTTGAAAAATATGTATAGAAACTGAATTTTTTATTTTTTATTTAAAAAACATGAATATGTCATCTATTTAAAAAATTTATAATAATTCTAAATAATTAAATTTTAAATAGAAAAATAACTGTCTTTACTAAAATAATACGAAACTACTAGCTCTGGACTCCCACACCAACTGAAGACGTGAATGATTGAAAAGAATCTTCCGTAACTGAGAACGGGTTAAATATGTTGGAAAAATAGATCCATTGTAATCCAACAATCCCTTTAGATCACAACATAACAAAAATACTTGAAAAATAAAAGAGAGAAAACACAATAATTTAACGTGAAAAACTCTCAAATGGAGAAAAACCACAAGTGTTGTCAAAAGACAACCAAGAGAAAAAAATATTTACTATGTGGAAAATTATTACAACCACACTACAAAATATTTAACTCGCACACATGCCCAAAAGCTAAAGTACACCCCAAGAGAATTTCTCTTTAAATTCTCTACTAGTATAGCTAATAGCTTTCTAGCACACCACTTGTATTTTGGTGATTGACATACATTTAACCAAAGGGAAATGTTCTATTATAGGCTAAGAATTTTTCCATCCTTTGTTCATTTCTAATGTGGGATTTGGCCAATTTTTGCCAAAAACTAACAAATCTCCACCTTGGCAAAAATTCCATACAATTCTTCACCATAAAAACAACAGCTACCTCAATAACACCATCAGCTATGATAGTCGCAATTCTAAAAACAAGAATTGTCATACTCCACCATAAGAGTATACACACTTGGAATTCACTAACTCCAAGAATTTTTACCTCGACCAGTTCATGTCGAAAAACTGCTAATAAGTTATGGTGCAACTTCCAATATTGACTTTCTAGGAAGTTCATTAGCCATCGACATCAATTCCACCACACACCTTGCATCAACTGTCAACCAATGCCCATGTGTAAATGTGGACATGCTACATTTTCATACATCCTTTTCCATGGCAACTCAATTGGTAGCTATCATACCATGAGGATATATATCTTACTTTAAAAAACAAATTCATCGTCTTCATTTTCAAAGACGACTACATTAGTAGCATCACTTTTGGAGCCATTAGTCGAATTAGCTCCACCGTTTTTGCAATCCTTCTTTAGATGTCCAGGTTGCCCTCATCCCCAGCAAATAATTTTCTTTTTGGAGCCTTTATACTTCTTCCTATTTCCACAAACCGACAATGCTCCACTTTCAGAAGATTTGTTCTCTCCATTTTTCAGCCTTCTTTCTTCCGAAATCAGCTTACTTGTCACTTCTGAAAAATTCACATTCTCTTTCCCGTACATTAAAACGGTTTGCATGTGCTCATAGGAAGATGGAAGAGACCAAATAAGTCTCAATGCTTTATCTTCGTCATCAATCTCCACTCCAATAGATTCCAGTTCAGAAACAATCCCATTGAGTGCACTAAGGTGGTCAGAAATTTTTGTACCTTCTTCCATTTGCAATTTGTGGAATTTCTCCTTCAAATATAACCTGTTTGAAAGACTTTTAGCTTGGTACATTTCCTCAAGCTTTTCCCAAAGCTCCTTTGTTGATGACCATCTAGCAACATTAGCAAGAACATTTTTTTTGCTAGACAGAGACGAATCTGACTTGCTGCTCTCATGTCTAACTCCTCCCATTCTTCTTCACTCATCTTGGATTTTCCCTTGTCTCCACTGCTGTCACTAGGTTTATATGGTTCATTTCCTTCGGACAAAGAAGCTGTCTTTCCCTTTAAGGCCTTATACAATCCAGACTGGATTAGTATATCCTTGACTTGTACTTGCCACAACCCAAAATTAATTCTCCCATCAAATTTCTCAATATCAAATCTGAAACTCATTTTTCCTCAACAATGCTCCAGTGATCTCACACGTAAATAATGAGTGAACAATTGTGTCTACAAAATGCACTAAGAAAGTTTCCAGGAAAGATTGGGGGGACACAAATGGTACCGCTTAAGTCCCAACCTCCTTAGACGATTATAGCCTTTGTGACAAAACTTTCTTGGCTACACTTACTTACACAATACCACATTCAATAAACACAATAATGTATTTAAAAGACCTCCAGTTGGACCACAACAATTTCTAAAAAATCTTTTTTGATGTAGAAGATCGGACAAAGCCGCAACCACAGAGCATACTAAGAATTTTAAAGAAATTTTTACCCCGCCTTTAAGTTTATCTTTTACCAAACCATTGGCTCCGATACCATTTGTTGGAAAAATAGACCCCTTGTAATCCAACAATCCCTTTAGATCACAACATAACAAAAATACTTGAAAAATAAAAGAGAGAAAACACAATAATTTAACGTGGAAAACTCCCAAATGGAGAAAAAACACAAGCGTTGTCAAAAGACAACCAAGAGAAAAAATATTTACTATGTAGAAAATTATTACAACCACACTACAAAATATTTAACTCTCACACATGCCCAAAAGCTAAAGTACACCCCAAGAGAATTTCCCTTTAAATTCTCTAATAGTATAGCTAATAGCTTTCTAGTACACCACTTGTATTTTGGTGATTGACATACATTTAACCAAAGAAAAATGTTCTATTTATAGGCTAAGAATTTTTCCATCCTTTGTTCATTTCTAATGTGGGATTTGGCCAATTTTTGCCAAAAACTAATAAAATATTTATTGACCTATTATGGGGAAAGCTGAAACGGAACGGAACACCAAAAGAAAGGGAAAAAAAAGCCTGGGTACGGTAACGGAGCAAGACCTTATTGTCAGCGTGACAGCATGGGGCAGATTAAGTTATAAAGCAAAACAGGGTTAAGTGGTAATTAAGACAATAATTAAGTGAGAAAAGGGTTGGTTTCCCGTCAGCTGACATGAGTGTGACATTGGAGAGACACATACCGGGATTGCCAAATCCCAAAAAACAACCTTTATAATAATAATGGTTGATGGACGGTATCCCATGATACATACCTTGCCCTCCCCATGCTTCGCTTTTAAAGTAATTTCTGGCTACTTCAACGGTGAGATTAATTAAGCTTAATTGGTATAATGATAAAATTAAAATTATTACTGAAACGTGTATTTAAATATAAATATAATTATAATAGAAATATGAGTAAAAAGGATTATTAATAACGTTAATGAACAGACTAAAAACTATACATAATACAAGTTTCTAAATAATTTAATATTTATAAAATTTATTACAGATGTAACACGTCGTAATTTTACTAATGAAATAATCATATGTATTATAATGATAGTTTTTTATTTATTAATCCACATTATGTGTTGGTGATTATCTTTTAGGTATGATGTTAATTTTTATGTTATTTTTTTTATAAAATAATAATTTTAGCTATAATTTTTACTTTAGACGTGATATGTTTATATATAAATTCTAGATTTAATCTTAATTTTATCTTAAGGGGAGAGAAATGAGAGGCTCTAGGGGATGGAAGGAGAGTACTTCTAATGGGTCTAGAACGCATGATATAAGAGAATATGAAAGAGCAAATATAACCAGTCAAATATACTTGTTTGATCATGATATTTATTTTTAAGATAAATTACTCATGATTTGAGACATATTTTATGTAATCAATCTTGATACATACGACTTATCACGTCATCACTTTAAATATATAATGTGTGTCACAACAACGATAAACATCGAAAATTAATCAATTAATAATTTTCATTCAAACCAATGATATTTTATCTTAAAATGAAATATTGGAAATCAAAGTACTCAAAAAAAATTAAGTGTCACATAATCATTTAATCGAGTGTTAGAGATTTTTTAGGGTTATATATATTTTTAATTATTTAATGTTATTTAACGAAAACTGATAAAAAGTCTTAACTATATCATTTTATATATGTTTAACACCAAATTAGTCGTTTGATTTTTGTGAAATTATTACTGTAACACTTATTTTTTTAATCAGTTTTATCTCTCAATTTAAGTTCAATATATATATATATATATATTTTAAATAATAATAATAATAATATATCCTATCAAACTTTGTCACATGTAAAAAGTAATAAATGAACATTTATTATACATGAAGGAAAGTGATTGGAACAAATGACATTTTTTTTTAAATTATTAAAAGATTCAAATAATAATAAAATGAAAGTTGAGGGATCAAACTGATGAGAAAAAAAAGAGGACCAAAATGATAATAAAATGCCCTAATTTTAGGATTAAGATTTATATTGGAAGGTTAAGTGTGCGTTGGTGCTTGTTATAAATTTGAAGTTATGCACCACAAACTTTCAAGTACCTTATATCTTTAATAATTTGTAATTATTGGTTAAATTGTGGCTTGTATGAAAAATAAACCATTAATATAAAAAAATTAAAAAAATATATGTATATCTATCCTGAATCTAAGTGTTCCTTACAAGAACAACAAAACTAGCAGACGGGATCTCAAACCTTAAAAACAGCCATGTATGTTTGGATCACAACAGCAAGCATCATTTAATTTAATGGAAGTCGGATTCCACTATTCTGCAGAATAATCGACTGTACCAATAATGAAATAGCTAGTCCTTGAAACCAAACACCCTAGTATTATTATTTTCTTTCAATTGCCAAGATAAGCAATAATTCTCGGTTTCTCTCTTTATTATTATTATTTTTTACTTTGTTCATCCCCGCATCTCTTAACAAAAATAGAAAAAGGAAGGAGACAAGAGTTTCAGGCCATCACCAAGAACTAAAACATCGAACAAAAAAAGAAAGAGGTGAAATTTGAATTTCACTGTATAAAAAAAAGGAATAATTAGGGTGTACTAAAGAAAAAGATGAAAATTATGTTTGTTTGCTTACTTTGTTTCAACAAAATGGAAAGCACATGAAAGGCTTTCGAGTAAGACATCATTTCTTTTGCAGGTTAGCCTTAGCCTAGCAAATTCATGGCCACACTCTCTTCCCTTCTCTTATCTTTCCCCCTCTGCTAAAAAAAACAAACTCAATAAACTAAACCCTTTGTTTCATTTATTTAGGCTCGCTTCTTTTTATTGTCTATGGTGGATCTGATACTGAATTAGCCCCAGCTTTGTAGATCTTCTCTGAGTGGGCGGTGAAAACGGAAATGGAAATGGATTTTGAGGAACACGAAGAAAAAGAGGAAGAAATGGGTGTGGCCGTTCCACTTCACCCAGGCTACGACTCACTCGGCAACTCATCAGCTGCTCAGTCAAAGATAGGAACCCTTAGCGGCGGCGAAGGCGGTCCGAGAAAACTGGAGTCCGGTATAAGGTACCGGGAGTGTCTCAAGAACCATGCGGTGAGTATCGGAGGACACGCGGTGGATGGCTGCGGCGAGTTCATTGCGGCGGGTGATGAAGGGACCCTTGATGCCTTGAAATGCGCTGCTTGTAACTGTCACAGGAACTTTCACCGGAAAGAAACTGAAGCCGAAAGCAGTAATATTTATAACCCTCATCACCACCACCATCAACACCTCCAATTTTCACCCTACTATAGGGCGCCGCCACCGGCCGGGTATCTCCAACTGACCCCAACGCCGCAGCAAAGACCTTTGGCCTTGCCGGCGGCGTCGGGAGGTGGTATTGCCGGTGCCTACAGCAGAGAAGATGAAGATGTTTCGAATCCTAGTAGTAGTGGTGGTGGAGGTGGAGGGAGTGGAGGATTAAAGAAGAGATTTAGAACAAGATTTACGCCGGAACAAAAGGATAAGATGCTTGGTTTCGCTGAAAGGCTCGGGTGGAGTATTCAAAAGCATGATGAAGCTGCTGTGGAACAATTTTGTGAAGAAACCGGGGTGAAAAGGCAAGTTCTTAAGGTCTGGATGCATAACAACAAGTACACTCTTGGTAAGAAACCCTAATCTCCAACAAAAAGGAAACGCTTCAAGAATGTGACCCGAGTATAACATAAACATCAAAGAAGCGTATGGTAATGGGAAATTCTCTAGGGATTTAACTAGGGTTCTTACCTTCCTTTATTTTTTGTTTTTGAACCTGATTTTGATTCTGTTATTATTAAGAGTGGTGATCAGTATAGAATGGTGATGAGGATCTTAAGTTTCTGAAGAGTATATTGTTGCTAACTGTGGTTTTCTTTTTGATTTTAAGACTTGTTTCAGCTCATTAAATATCTCATTTTTCATCAACTAATTTTAATCCATCATCGCTTACATATAAATATGGTTGCATGTCTCCGTGATCAAAATTACACTTTTAGTTTAGAATTAGCTTAGATTTTATTAAGATGATGAACTTGAACTGATCAAAGGGTTTTGTAAGTTAGTATCATGTGATCATAATTTCATGATAAAAGTGAATTAAAACGTGTTTGGCATGCAAAGCTGGAACATTTTCTCTGTAATATAATTTATACTATATTAATTATATGGCTTTTCTCTCACTTTAATTAGTTTCTCTCAACTGATATTCTGCAAGCTCTTAATACACTTTCTTCCAGCTGAACAAATCCTCAAGATCACCATCAAGGAAATAGTTAACAAATGAGGTTTAAATGATGCCGGGAATTATGAGTTTTGGTTAACTTTTTTTTTTTTTATAATTCAGTAATTACCCGTCTTCCATTAATGATTTATCTTTTCATTTTTCATCCTTCTTTCCATTTCCTTGTTATATATCATGACTTCACCTTGTATGCTTCTTTTTCTTTTTTGAGGAGTGGTTACACCATGGCAGAAAAGCTCACAGTCATTACCAGTTTTATTGCAGTGTTTCAGACATAAGTCAGAATTCTTCTGACCAGCCTAAGGTCCCGTGGATGGCTCGTTAAAAACACCTTTTTTTTAAAATTATTTTTAAAATATAATTAACAAATTAATCCCATAAACAACCACGTTTAAGATCATCGATGAAGAACAAGAGATGAGATGTGTGCTTGTGGGGAAGAAACTGAACACGTCTGATGTTGGGGAAAGTCGAGTAAAGAGAAGATGGCATAGTGGAGAGTTGAAACTGTCGGAAATAAGAGTTTCAAAGAGGTTTTGAGTTTTGGGGGGGGGGGGGGGTTTCATTTTGGTTGGTTTTATGCTGCTTTTGGGTTTGTCCCTGTCGAGGGACATGTGGGCTCTCTGTCTCGAAACAAAAGTAAACTGAAACAATATTTATTAATTGCACTGACATTACAGCTATCACATATGATGTTCTCCCCTCTCTCTCTCGCTCTTCCTTTCTTCCTCTTGTGTTCTTCTTCAACAATCTTAACCCTCACTTCACAAAATACCCATTTCCCCCACAATAATGATCTTTTCTTTGTTTTGAATGAATGTACAACTGTTTCAGTACTATTAATGGCAATGGACCAATTTTACATCTACTGATTATTTGGGGAGGATTAGCATTTTGCTATTAAAACAACCAAAATTAAACTTGATTGTGTTTGGCCTCTTAGAGAAAAACCGAGGGAAAATTTTTAATCACTTTTGAGAATCTTTCTATGACAGAAACAAGACAAAACTGATAATTAGAAATCTGCATTCATTATACCTACAAAGATTAGATTAGCTAAAGAGTGAGAATCTATGGTCCCTGGTGGATGGCCCATGATCTGAATGTATTACCATCTGCCATAAAAATAGGTGTATGTTTCCCTTTATCAGGTTTGCCAATTAAGATGAAGACACACAAGCTGGCCTGTCCAGGCCTCTACAACATCCACTCCTCGGTCAGGTTTCGGACCTACCAGTGGATCTGTCGGTTCCGGCACATTTGGGCCACTGAAACACGCTACCTTCGACGTTATTACACAAACTGGGTCCTTCCTTACAATGCACTGTTGCGGAAAAAAGGAATCATATTTCGCAGTGATACCCAAACAAACTGATATCTTTACTGAAATTCAAACGTATTCACCAACAACTGATGTTTAGGAACCAAGAGAATCATACCACAGTGACACTCGAAATAAATGCAATATAAAACATATGCTATATCACAAATCTGACTCGATATATGTTATGTACATCAATCTAGTAAAGCAAAGCATCTGTTTTGATAACATGGCATTAAAAGCTACGAGGCTGCAATGCACCTTGAAGATTCTTAACAGCACTGTCATAATATACAAACCCCATGAACCAGAATTCATGGTTATCAACTGATATAATCTGTATGTATTTCTCAGCCGGATTGGCTTTACTAGCTGAAGGATTCACTGCCCTCAGCTGATGTAATGGAATAACCACCTACACAAACATGTTGCGACCAGACACAAAATCACATACTAAATAATTAAACGGGTTAAACAAAGACAAATACGGGTTTAGATTTCATGCAGTTCACTGACGGTATATAAACTTATATATAAAAAATAAAGATCCATAAATAAATGATAAAGGCAAGAATATTTACAAACACAATGAGCACAAGTATGGGTTAAAGAAAAAAAAAAAGAAGCTATCAAAACTTTTGAGAAATCTCCAACACGTAGGTCCTTTTAAAACCGAGAAAGGTGAAAACACAATCCTAGAAATTTAATGGTTTGAATAGCCGTAGGCCATCTATTACAGGATGGCTTTTGATTGTGTTCTTTAGAATCATAAGATCAATTAAATTTAGTAAAACTGTGGATATCACGATCTATTTACAGTTGTCCCAACCCAATCATCTCGTATAATATTCTACCTTCGAAATGCCTGTTAAAGTCTCTACTCCACTGCCAATAGTGTTCAACTTCTTTTTAAAAGTTGAATTTATATAAAGCATTATAAAGTATCATTATCAACTAAAAATTTGCACTACAGGAGAGAACAAGTCTAACAACAAGATGACAACTCTTATGAAACCAGATGACCAAGGAATTTTGCAAATAACCAGGATAACGCCGATGAAAAAAAGAATCTAGTATGTTTAAGAACAGAAAGAACAGTTTTCAGGTAACAAAGCATCCGGGATTCTCAACTTCGAGTAATCCACTAATCCACATAGAACCATCAACTTGTGAGCATTCCATTCCAATTAGGGATGACAAGTAAAACCGAACTCGACTCAATCCGACCTGATCAGGCAGGGTGAAAAAATTTAAGGTTGGGTCGGAGTCAGGTCTAGGGATAACCTGCCCTGCCCCAACCCAGAATAATTACAAAAATACAATATGCATTTATATATTTTTAGTTGGATTTTGATAAGAATATAACAAAAATATAAGGTACTAAAATATGTTCTTATATTAAAATTTAATTTAGTTTTATGCTATTAAATTAAATAAATTAATATTTTATTCAATTATTTTTCTATTTTGAAAAAGAATATATGAATTTTTTTAAAATCATACTAAATTGGGTTGGAGATGGGTTTCCAATTAAATTTCAAGGTTTGAATCTGGTGAGATTTCTTTAAAGTCGAATTCGGGTTGGCTAAAAAGCCGAGCTGATCGGATCAATTGTCATCCCTAATTACAATATATTTTGAAACATGTTAACCAAGGAAGGGATGAGAAAATAGTAATTCGTGTCTTTAACATCCTATGAAACTGCCAAAACCTAACAATTTTCTGTTATATCATAAAAAAGCAGCATTAATTGGATGGCTAATTCTTATTCTACATACATTCAAACTCGAACCTAGCCCTTAGTTGCATATGCGAAAATTAGAAGCAAAGCAGTAACGCATAACATAAAACCTGTTTACCTTATAATAGCTATATTGCGTCTGGTCACCAACTTGATAAGCCAGTGGGTTGTCGCTACAGAAAGCAAGCTTTTCGGTCGACAGGTACAGAACTCCAATAACAGGACCAGCCGAGGTGGACAAGTAGCAGCCATATGTCTTCAGAAGCTTTTCATCGGGAACAGTCTCAAATGTTGTCCCAAAGATCTTCTCATAACCACCATCTGCTATAACTTTGGTTGTCTGAGCAATTTTTCCTACAGCAGCGTCAGCAAAACTCGGCCCAGTTTTCACTACGACAACAATTATTATCCGTTCACTTGACAAAATGTAAAAAAATATATTACAGAAATATCAAGGGAGAAAGGGTAATTATAAAAAAGATAGAAACAATTACAGTGTTGCCACATGTTATCGGCTATCTCTTTCGCCTTCTTAGTATCGTCCGCCGCTTTCTTCCCCCATTTCCCCAACACGTCTTTCATTGATTCCATCTTATCTGCTCGAAGGAAAAAAGGGCTCAAATTTAAAGAGACTTAAAACTATATTCAAAATTCCAATTACACATAAACTGAAGCCAGTATGCTACTCTTGACGGAAGATGATTGAACTGGTGCCGGAGAAACGTAAGGATTGGACTCGGCAGGCATGGTGGTGGCAGCGCTTGTCGAGATCGGTGCCGGGTGAGGATTGGGATCTGATTGGGAACCGATGGACCAGTTTTCCGGTGGAGGAGCGACGTCCGTCGGGTCTAACTTCGGGTAGGGAGCGTAGTCAGAAGAGACAATGGGCGGTTGGGTTGACTCCGAGGATGAAGTTGACTGTTTGGTTTCCGAGATTTTCCCATGATCGGTCGGGGGCTGGCTCATCATTTCTTTGTGTTCGGATCAGATAAAGAAAAAGGAGAATGGAAAATTCGTTTATTAAACAACAAAAAGCTAATATCGGGAGAGGGATCAAAATTCAAGAATAAAAAGAAATCGTGAGAAGATGTTCTTACAATAATAGCTGTCGTTCTTCTTTCTTTTTGTCCGAACTTTGAATTTTGTATGTCAAGCGAACAGCTGCCACTTGTTCAAGCCACGTGCCACAGGATAACGTATAATATAAGATAAACTGTCTGCTTAATCATCTAATTTCCAATATATTTTACTTTTCATCACTCAATTATATGGTATTTTCGATTTGAACATTAATGTCTCAAAACTTGTTTTTAAGTCGTTGTTCTGTTTCAAAAATTATGCAAAAAGAAAAAGAAAGGAAGATATACATATTAAAACCGTTTAGCTTCAAATTTTGATTTGAACTTTCATTAGTTTTAAAGAAGTTTTCACGAATCAACAAAATAATCGAAAACGATGCAACGAATTTACTAACATTTAAAGAGGTTAAACAAATTTAAAATAATATGATTCTAATGATGACATGATATGAAAGAAATAATATTATTTTTCACGAGAAATATAATAAAATAAATTAAAAAATAAATTTGATATCATCTTATTATTTTTGACTTGGCGCGTAAATGATTTTTTCAAACGGAAGACAAATATTAAGAAATTTGTGATGATATTTATAATTAGGTATCTAAAACATAAAGATATTAAGAAGATGAATGGCTAAACATGTATTTTATCCTGTAATATTATAGAATGTCCTACTCCATAAGACACAGCCGTGTAGTTTACCCAATAATAAAACAAATAAACGTTACGCCTCTAACCAACTTTAGTCCTTTAGCCATCATAGCCAACTTCCGAGATGTGTGGAGCAAGCATTTTCAGTCACAAATTTTCCTAATCCAATTGGTTGGTTTAAAAATGCTGTAATGGACAAGTAAAAAGAAGGGGGCTTTATTCTTTGTCGACTGATGTTTGGTTTTTTTCTTATGAACAGTAAACATTACGGTAATATTAAAACAATTTTAAAACAGAGTTAAACCTCACTACTTTATGGAAAGATTCTAAAAATATAAAATAAAATTTTAAAGTCAGCCAAACAACATATACAGATCTTTACTGGGTCTGTCTCGATGCATTGGAAGGAAAGTCGATACATGCATTTACTCCATGCTACCTAGAATCGGCCATCTCATACTTAAAAAAATTTCATTGAATTGTTTGAAGCAATTAATTTTACCTAAATTATGCATGCATCAAAATATGCTAAGAATATCAACCTAGTTAATTAATCAGTAAAAGATAAAACAAAACCTCAAATGCCTTGTAAAATGCCGCCTTTAGACTTCCATTTCAATTTTTTATGATCTTTATTGGGCTTTCAATTAGGGATGGCAACGGGCCGTGTATTGGTCCCCCGTCTCCGTCTCTGTTTAAAAAACTCGTACCCGTCACCGCTTAAAAAATTGCGGGGATTTAAACGGGGATCTCCATCGGGTAATCGGAGAAAACCGCGGGGAAACGGGTATCCCCGTTTAGCATAAACGGTTATTTAAACGGGTATCAGACCGGGTATATATATTTAAATTAAATATATATATATTATATATATTTTTAATTTAATTTAAATTTATTAATATTATATATATGTAATAATTATTTTTAATATTTATCGGGCCAGGTAATTAGGTAATCGGGACGGGGATTACTAAACCCGTCCCCGTTTAACATAAACGGTTTTTCCCCATCCCTTCCCCGTTTAGCATAAACGATTTTTATCCATCCCCGTTTAATTCGGTTTTCGGTTTTCCCCGTCGGATTCGGATTTTTTTTGCCATCCCTACTTTCAATTGTCAATACAATCACGGATGGACCTAGGTAAGGATAGGTTGGACGGCCGCTCTCTATTTTTTTTAAATTTTTATATATTTTAGATTTTTTATTATATTTTATATTAAAATTATATTTTTGTCCCTAATATTTTATAAATTCATCTTCCTTCAAATTTTATAAGTTCGTCATCCCTAATATAAAATTTTACATCCGTCCCTAAATACAATTAAATTACTGAAGAGTAGATGGAACGATACACATTAATAAGAATTCATCATTCTCTTATTTTCTATCAAACAAACTAAAATTCGTCAACTAATCAATTAAATTCATAAAGAAGAATCTCAAAACTACATATTATTGGTCGGGGTTTTATGATTGAAAAGGATTATATGTTTGAATCCACAATATTTAAATTATTACAATAATAATAGTAATTGAATTAAAATTAATAAATAAATAAATTAAATTTTATAATTGAGAACCACCTAATATATCTATAACAATATTAAAAAATATATTTAATATATTCAAATTCAAAATATTATTCTATTTTAAGAAATTCAAATTTACTCTTTCGTTAGATCTATAATTTTCTTTTAGGGTTTAGGTTTGGAAAAGATTTGATTTTTAGGGGTTTTGGTGGTTTGAGGTTTCGTTTCTAGGCCTCGAGGCTATAGGGGTCCATGTAGTGGTCGTTCGACTCCTCGTCGGAGCCAGAGAGCGGCGGGGAAGGGCTATTCATGGTATTATTGTCTTAAAAAAGGCGGAAAGAGGGGCTTTGAGAGTGAGCAGCAGGGGTGAGAAGTAAAAAAATGAGTCATAGGGTTTCCAGAATCCTAAAATGGGCTATGTACTTATATTTACACCATCAAACGATGCCGTTTTAGTTAGGGACACCTGATTTCATGTGTCGGGTCTATTTATGTAAGGGCTCCACCTATTTTTATTTCAATGCAAATCAGTCCCCAAAATCGAGTTTTATGAATATTCGAAATTTGGCCTTTAATTTATTACACGTTTTATTTGAGTCCTTTATGTTTTTTTATGTTAATCTATCGTTGTTCTTCACATTTGGCTTGCATTTTTAATGTTACATTTTGGTCATGTATTTATGGTTTTATTTTAATGGTGTCCGTTCTTTCATGATATTTGCGTGTTGAACATGTTCTTTGCCTTGTTTGCTATTAGATCCCTAAAGTTACTATTTTTTATTTTTATTTTGATCATTATGCCATGCTTTTTAGTATATAAATGCACATATACATTGCATTACATTACTTTATAGAATTAAATGTATTTTATACATATTATGTTAAATTATATTATAACACTAAGTATATTTTGTACGTATTATATTAAATGTTTATTTCAATTTTTCTAATGTATTAATGTATGCCCTTTTAATTAAATTTTCATGGTTAACTATAATATAACAAGTTATTTAATTTAATAATATTAAATATATATTATTCTATACTTGATTTTAAATATGTATATATCATGCTTAGTTACTACGGTATTTAGTGTTATATATATATATATATATATAAAATAAATTTTGAACTTCGTATATACATTATATTTTATATTAGAAGCTTATGTCTTTTCTTTTGTGTGTGCGCACAAGCGTGCTTGCGTGTGTGTGCGCATGCGTGTATGTGCTTGTGCTCGTGCGCGTGTGTGTCGTGTGCGCGTGTGCTTATGCATTTGCATGTGCATGTGCGCGTATGTATCTGCGTGTGTATATATATATGCTTGTTGATCCCTTTCTTTTCCTTGTTTGCTATTAGATCCCTAAAGTTACTTTTTTTTTATTTTGATCATTATGCCATGCTTTTTAGTATATAAATGTGCATATACATTGTATTACATTACTTTGTAGTATTAAAATTATTTTATACATATTATATTAATTTATATTATAACACTGTGTATATTTTGTGCGTAATATATTAAATGTTTGTTTGAGTTTTTCTAATTTATTAGTGTATGGCCTTTTTATTATTTTTTCATGGCTAAGTATAATATAATGTGTTATTTAATTTAATAATATTACATATATACTATTCTATACATGATTTTAAATATGTATGTAGCATGCTTAGTTTCTATGGTATTTAATACGTTATATTATGTATATATATATAACAAATTTTGAACTTCATATATATTTATATTTTATATTTGAACCTTATGCCTTTTCTTATAATATATATATATATATATATATTCTTTGCAAAAATATCATTTATCGAAAATTTATATAGATCTAGGTTTTAATTTTTTTATTAATGTGTATGTTGGCCTTATAAAGTATTTCTTCGAATCAATTACATAATTAATTTAAAAGTATTATTTTATTTCTTTAAATTATTGAAAGAATGGTGGTTTTAATATAACTAGATATGTTATTTCGATATTTAAATACCTTACTAAGTGAAACTATGATAAGATTGATCACACTTAAAATGAACGATGATAAACAAAAGAAAAGGAAATGTTCCCCTATTTCAATTTGCCAAGGAAAAGTCGTTTAATGCAAATTAAAGGCTTTGACTTGACACTTTTAAATAATTAAACATTCTTTATCTTTTCTAAATCGGTTGATAATTAAAATTAATTGGTTAATTTTCTTATTTTTCTTTTTAAAATGATTTTTTTTTAGAATTCTTCAAAAGAAAAGTAACATTCCTTTAATTTCAATTGGCGAGAGAAATAGTTCTCTCAATTCACGATTGGGGGGTTATTTCTCTTCTATTGAAAATGGTGGAATATCTTCCTTTTCTTCTTAGAATCCTTGGCTTAATAGAATGAATTTTCTTAAGTATAAAATTCTTTAAGATATAAATATGAAATTCTATTGTTTAAGTTGGTGAGAGAAATAATCATTTAAATTCATGTTGAGAGGTTTTTTCTCTTTGATTGGAAATGATGAATATCTTCTTTTTCTTTTTAGAAATCTCAGGTTAATACAATATGTATTTGCGAAGAAAGGATCTTTAATTAAATTAATGTCGTATTTGTAATAGTTTTCATTGCAAAGACAACAAATTAATCCATTATATACTAATTTGGGCGCTAAACTTCAAAAAATTAATTAATCCACTCTTGACATATTTTCGATTGATCAATCGAGCTTTATCAAACCCAACATAGCGTCTCGAAAAGCATGCTTGAGATGTCTCACCGCTCGAGGTTACCCCAAACCTCAAACATTCTAGCATAATGTTTTCATTGTTTCCGGCTAGCCTGATCACCAGGCC